CATCACGGAAATGATTATTGTGCCTTCGACTTAAGCCATTTTGTACACGAAGACGATGCCACTAAGTGGGGATGTGAGAGCAGCTGGTACTTTCCAGATGAAAAGAGATGAAGGGTCTCCCCCCATCCCCGTAGGCGGGGAATGGGTCTTTCACTTGGTAATTGATGGGGGGAGGGGCTTCAGAAATGAGTTCCAGCCGGTGGTGAGGAGCTTCTATGGACGGGGGAGGCCACAGGGAGAATTTTCCCAGTCACTCTAAGCCCAGTCTCTCTTCTTTATCCACGGAACCATCAGTTCTTGCTTCCCAGCCATGCATGTTCCCAGCGTAGCTACCTCAACGGGGACTCTCCAGCTCTGAGGAACATGATGGCTGGGGAGCAAGGACTGATGGTTCGGTGGATAAAGAAGAGAGACTGGGCTTAGAGTGACCGGGAAAATTCTCCCTGCGGCCTCCCCCTGTCTATGTCCCATTCCCAGCCAGCCACGTGTGCTCCTCTCTCCATGGTCCTGAATCGTTGCTGCACTCACAACTATTTCTCTGCAAAGTCGGGGGCAGGACTCATCTCAAGCGCTGCTCCCCTTCCCCGGCATGCCAGGCTTACCCCTGAGAATGAGTCCCTTGGTCATGACTCAAGGAAGCCCCAGCATCTCTAAAGCCAGACTTCCTGGGAATCCCGGAAGCCTTCCTGTATGCTGGCCTCCCTTCCCCCCCAACGTTGCCTTGGTGGAACTGAGTTTAGTGACCTGGGCTGGCCATGCAGAGAGCTGGGGGTGGCGTGGGCTAGTGCTCATGTCCTTCAAGAATCTGCTCTGAACACTGAGCATGCCACTGGCTAAGTTCAGTGGTTAGAAAACAGACCCTCCTCATTGTTTTTCCAGCAGAGACAGCACGTGTAAGGGCTCAGGGGCAGAAAGCTGTATCCCTTTTATGGGGGGTCATATGGCCAGGCCTGTATTTCAAAGATGAGCCCTTGGCTGTCAAGAAGAGGTTGGATGGGGACAGGGGTGGAGCAGAGAGAAGAGATGCACCATATACCGGGACTGGGCTAGGGCGGTGGAGTTGGGACTAGAGAGGGAGGGACAGACTTGAGGGATGTGAGAAAGGCCAGGAATTCTTACCTGATTGTTTCTGAGGTGGGGAGAGACAGAGGGCGAGTCCAGGAGGGAGGTGCTAGGATCCTCTCCCGGAAATTAGAGCTACAGAAAACAGCTGTGCAGGGAGGCTTTGCTATTCACGGTGCACCTGCCAGAGCGAGGCACCTTGCTGAGGCTGGGCACCAAAGATGAGCATGGAAACAGTACTGTGTTCCCCTGGGGGAGACGGACATCAGGAGGAGCCTGTCGTATCCCCCACCCCACTGCCATCAAAATCTAGCTGGGGGCGGGTGGGGGAAAGCAGGAGGAGGGAAGAAGGAGAACACGGAGGAGTGGCAGGTGCCTGGACGGAGAGTGATCGTGTCATTAGCACCCTGACTGGGACATTTCTGACAGTGAAAGGAGGGCTGTTGGTGCTTTTCACCAAGACTCACCAAGTAGACTTCCTTCCAGAACAGGTCTGCCCTCCTCTGCTAAGGTGAATGGCTTATGATCCTTTTCCCTTTTCAGGCTCAGTGGAGGGATAACAATAAACATATTTCATTACTATATTATTTTTAATATCTTTTTTATTGATTTCAGAGAGGAAGGGAGAAGGAGAGAGAGATGGAAACATCAATGATGAGAGAGAATCGTTGATCTCCTGGTTCATAGGTCGACACTCAACCACTGAGCCACCTCGGCTGGGCTCATTACTATGTTTATTGAGCACTTACTATTGCCAGGCACCAAGCTAAGCCCCCCTACTTATATTATCTCATTTAATCCCCACGAGAACCGATGAGGTAGGTACCAATTTTACCTGCTGAGGAAACTATAGTAAAGCACGGTAAAGGTGAGCCACTTCCAGGTCACACAGTTAAGGGTGGAGCTGGAAGGCATCCGGGTCTGGCTCCAGAACCTGTGCTCTTAGCCAGACAGGCCCTTCTAGGGGGCTGGAGGCTACAGCTGCTCCTGGTTGGGTCCCTGCCATGTCCAGGAGGCTGGTGCCAACTCCATGCCCCTCCTCATGCCAGACCCACCTTCTCTTTCATCTCTTGCTGGATGACATTGGTGCCTGGTCACTGATACCCCTGAGGTCCAGAGGCAGGAACACTCACAACTTCCTGCGCAGACCCACCTGCAGACCTGTCCAGGCGTGAGATCCCGCACCCACCTTCACCCAGTCTCCAAGGACAGAGCGCTCTCCTCTGCTGCCCATAGTTCACCCCTGAGCTCGGGTCCAGACCTGCTGCCCGGGGATGCTGGGGTGCCAATCACTCCTTGGTCTTTTCACCCTCACCTCTTCACTGGATCTTTTTTCTTTCCTGTCTTGAGGAAATCCTCTATGTCTCACCCAGTTGTACACTCCCCACTGCATATAGGACAAAATCCACATTGTTTTCTAAAAGCCAGGGCTCTCCTCCTCCTCCTCCTCCCGCTCCTCCTCCTCCTTCTCCTCCTCCTCCTCCTCCTTCTTCTGCTTCTTCTTGTTAATCCTCGCCTGAGGATATTTTCCCATTGATTTTTAGAGAGAGTAGAAGTGAGGAGGAGAAGAGAGAGAGAGAGAAACATCAATGTGAGAGAGACACATTGAATGGTTGCCTCCCATTCGTGTCCTGGCCAGGGCCAGGGATCAAGCCTGCAACTTAGATATATGCCCTTGACTGGAATGGAACCCAGGACCCTTCGGTCCCAGCGTCAATGCTCTATCCACTGAGCCAAACCAGCTAGGCCCAGGGCCCTTCCTGATCTGGCCTTACTCCATGTCTCCGGTTGCTTCTCTCCGAAGGCCTGCATGTCCCAGCTCCTCACCTGTAAATGGCCTGGTAACAGTCCCTAACTCCTATGGTGTGAGGATGAGATGCTCTAGGGCAGGGGTGGGGAGCCTTTTTTTCTGTCCAGGGCCATTTGGGTATTTATAACATCATTTGCAGGCCATACAAAGTCATCAACTTAAAAATTAGCCTGCTGTATTTGGCCAAACATTTAAATTAATTCACCCTTAATGCCATGGTAGGGCCAGACATTCCCCACCCTTGCTCTAATGCAGCGGTTCTCAACCTGTGGGTCGCGACCCCTTTGGCGGTCGAACGACCCTTTCACAGGGGTCGCCTAAGACCATCCTGCATATCAGATATTTACATTACGATTCATAACAGTAGCAACATTACAGTTATGAAGTAGCAACGAAAATAATTTTATGGTTGGGTCACAACATGAGGAACTGTATTTAAAGGGCCAGAAGGTTGAGAAACACTGCTCTAATGGATGGCAAGCATTTACCATACTTCCTGAGATAAGGTAGATTTTCCAATAATGTAAGGGATAATGATTATTCCAGTGAAGTGGAGGAATCATGGCTGCTTCACGGAGGGGGCGGCATTGGAGCCAGCCCTTGAGGGCTGGAGAGGAGGTGGCCATGTGGTGTTGTGGAGCAAGAATGCAGGCATGAGAAACAGCACAGGCATGTGGGCACCAATGCTCATGCCCCGAGTGGATCAGATGGACTAGGCCCAGAGGGTGGAGGAGACAGGAGAGGAAAAAATCAGAAAATGCAAAGCGAACCTGAGTTTAGTCTTTGGTCTGTGGACAGTGGGGGCCATGGGAGATACTGGGAGGGAGTGATGAACTCAGCCACCATCATCTTGCTGAACTTTTGCATCAGCTCCTGAAGGCCAGCCTCCTCTCTGATCCCACACGGCCAGAGGGGCCGCTGGAAGCCATTCCTCTTTTGTAACACAACCCACAGTGGCAACTGTGCCTCTCTGTGCGGGATCCCAATGGAGGCCAGCCTCCCCACCAGGCCGTGAGCTAGGAACTGGGACTCTCTAGCACATGATACGGATTTAAACGGAATCACTCCTTGCTCTCCTGCGCATATTGTTTTAGAGTTAAAACAGTAAAAAAAAGAAAGGGCAACACTGCCCACCTCTTAGGGTGATTCTGTGGCTAAATGAGATAACTTAGGTCCAGTCCTTAGCCAGCTGCCTGGTACAAAATAAGGACTCGATAAGTCGTCATCATCAAGGTGCTTGACCGCATGTCCATTCTGAACTCAGGGGTCTCAAATAATCAGAAAATAAATAACCAAATATTTATTTCAGAGGACTACTGCACATGCCTGTTCTAGAAGTCAAACATCTGGGAGTTCTAGAGCTGGAGGTTGCCGGCCAGCCCTTGCCAGCAAGTTGACAAGTGCTCCTGGCAGGGGCCTGAGTTGATGGAGATGCCTGGGACACACCCCCTACTGGGCCCCCCAGGATGCTCTCTGTTCCTGCTCTCATCCACCTGACTTCACATTAAATAGGGCCAAGAAACACCAAGCTCACTGAGGAGGAGTGTGGCTCCCCCAGCCCCAGCCTTCTTGGTTCAAACCTAAGACTCCTGCCTTTCTGGTGTGAGCCAGGAAGGGGCTTGGTTGAACTAGGATGTGGTTCTCGGGTGGGAAGGGAGAACCGGGGATTTTTTTTTCTTTTGTGGCAGAGGGAGCTCACAGAGAAAAGGAGACAGGCCCAGCAGGCCATGGAGAAAGCCACAGGCACCGCCTTAGCCTCTCGGTGCAGCCACCGCAGGGAGCCTAGGCCTGGGGTCTGGAGGGGCCTGGCTTACCTGCTCCCATCAGCTCAATGCAGCCTGGACCTGGGCCTCCCTCTCAGGCCCTCCGTCTCCACTCGGCCACCCAGTGGTTCTGTGACTCTGCATTGCTTGGTTCTGCTTCCAGCTGTCCTCAGCCGGTGAGGGCCAGGCTTGGTTAGGGTCCCGGTCCCTTGAATCCAGGCCACTTCTCCAAGAGAAGGCCACTTCCTCTCCCCTGAGGAGGCAGCTGGAGTGAGGGCTGCAGTGGGACCGGGTGTGTTCCAGGGGCCCCCACAGGGCTGTGAGGACAGCCTTCCTGAGGTCCCTGCCACCCCCTCTCTCCGCAGTCTCGAAGTAGCGTGCAGCAGGGGGACATCGACGGGGCCCGGAGGCTGGGCCGCCTGGCCCGGCTGCTCAGCATCACCTTCATCATCATGGGGATCATCATCATCATTGTGGCCGTGACCGTAAACTTTGCAGGTGAGGCCCAGCCACGTGCCAGCCCAGGGTGTAGCCTGGCCTCTGGGGCAGGGGCAGTGGGGGGAGGTAAGAGCCTGTGGGGACACAGCCGATCCTCTCATTCCCCAAAAGCAACTCAGTTCCAGGCATAACCAGCTGAGTAGGCTGGCTGTGTGCCTTGTCTTATTCCTGGAAAGCGATTACAAGGAAAGAGTGGGGGAAGAGCGTGACCCAGGAACCAAGAGGTCACGAGTCAGGGCACGTACCCAGGTTGCAGGCTCGATGCCCAGTCCGCAGCCAATCAGTGATGTTTCTCTCTCATGGGTGTTTCTAGCTCTCTCCCTTCCTCTCTAAAAATCAATAAAAACATATTTTTAAAAAAGGAAGAGCACAGGCCTAGGAGCCAGAGGCTCTGATGGCCATGGCCCCGGGCCGCTGGCTGTCTAGTTGAACCCGAGGGGCTTTCCTGTCTAAAGCAGTAGGAAGAGGCCTCCAGCACAGAGGCTTGGTGAGCATCATCTGAGGTGGCGGATGTGTCCGTCTTGGTAAATGGAGCTGAGACAGCCAGGACAGGCCGGAAGTAACAATGCACACGGTGGAAGCCAGAAAGGAACACATTTGTGAGCACCCAGAGGTGGCCCTAGGAAGTTCTCCAAGCAGGGGAGCCATTTCCAAGGGTGACTCTGGCGGCTCAAAAGGCCCATGCAGCTCCCCAGACAGAAAGAAGCCAGACAGAAAGACAGACGGACAGAGACACACACACACACACACACACACACACACACACACACACACGCGGAAGTCCCCAGGGATCTCTGCTCCTTGGAGTGACCAACCCAGGCTTTTCCCGAAAGACCTTGTTCCTCTAGATGGGCTCCTTGGAGCAGCGGCAGTGGCTGCTGACCCCGGGAACCTGTCAGAAATGCAGACTCTCAGGCCCCACCCAGACCCACTGAACCAGAATCTGGATCTTACTAAGATTCCCAGCCCAATCATTAAGGTTTGGGAGGCACTGGTCTAGGCGATGGGGTGTTCAACGTGGGGCAGAAAGCCTGGAATGCAGCCCTCGGGTCATGGGCAACCGTGGCCACTGAGGAGAGGGAAGAGATCAGGTTGGTAATCAGCCTGTCAGGTTCAAAACCCACGTCCTCCGCTTCCTATCTGCCTGGATTGAAGCACGTTCTGTGATCTCTCTGAGTCTGATAGACACGCAGGTACGTGAGGCAGGAACCCACCTGCCCGGGGCATTAGCTCAGTATCACCTACGATGCCTCAGTCGCCTGTGATGCCTTTGTCCTGCTGCTGCTTTTCATGTTAGCCATGACTGTTTTTAAAAAAAATACGTTTTTATTGATTTTTAGAGAGAGAGGAGGGAGAGGGATGAGAGATGGAAACATTGATGAGAGAGGAACACCATGGATCAGATCCTCTTGCGCGGCCCCTGTTGGGAATCGAGCCTGCAACCTGGGCATGTGTCCTGACCGGGAATCGAACCGGCGACCTCTTGGTTTCTGAGTCAATGCTCAACCACTGAGCCACACTGGCCGGGCAGCTATGACTCTTTCAATGGCACATGACAACCACCGAGCTCAATATGGCAGAGGGAACTGTTGAGCGTCCACTAGGAAATCCCAGCACAGATGGCTCTGTGTTCAGGGCTCACAGGCCTCCGTCCTCTCATGGCAGGAGTTCGGCTCCACCAAGAGCCCCCAACCAGGTGGTCCCAGTTGCCCTGTCCCACGAGGAAACAAACACCCCAATCCTCCAAACAGGGACCCGGGGACCCCGTGCTCTGAGCTCTGCTCTGCGTAACTGTCCTTCTCTTTACAGTTCAGAAGAAATAGAAGTGACCAGGGCTCGGCCAGCAGAGGCAGCCCTGGCCAGCCGGCGTTCCCACCCCACCCCCTCATCCCACGGAGGACAGGACCATGACTGCCAAGGGCCCACCTGTCCCCAGGCTCCAAAAGCACCAACTCAGAGGGAACCTCTGTCACCCCTTTGCAGTCCACATCCGATGGGAAAAGCCAGAGGAAGAAAGGAAGGAAGGAAACGAAATGGACTTGAAACCAGTGAATAATGTGGTTTAACCTCATGGACACAGCCTGGCATTTGCCCCGTGTTCTGGCTTCTTTCTCATCCCCACTTTCCTGGCATCTACCGAGCAGCGTATACTGCCAGCAGGAGCAGAATCCAGCCCCACAGACGGAGGAGGGGTCTTTGCATTTTTCTTGAGGAGGGAAGGGGAGGACTGTTTGCATGTTGTGCCACATGCCTGCTGCGATCCCAGCCGTGCCCTGACCTCAGAGGCCGAGTGATGCTCCGCACGCCCTGGGGCCTCCGGCACACAGACCACAGCCACACTTAACCGCCCCCGCCTCCCCCATGGCAGGGTGGAGTCGCCGAAAGGAATGTTGGCGAAGACAGGAACAGGGACAGCACGGCACCGGCCTCTTCCCAAACTTTTTCTGCCGAGAACTATGGTCCCAGCGAGTCTCCCATGGGTCTTCAGCAGCCTCCATGTCACTCAGCCAAAATCCCCGCTGATTTTTATAGCCCAAAGTTCTCTTCCTAGCTCTGCAACCCTGGGATGAAGGTATGGTGTGGGGCTTGGACCCCCCTCCTCCCTCCCCACACACACACAGCTGAGATATTCCTCCTTATTTAAAAAAAAAAACACCACACATGGCTGTCGGACCAGCCTGTTCAGCGCCTCCACCCCTCCTACCAATCTCAATGTGATTTTTTCTCTAGCGGTAGGATTTCCATTCAGCCAGATTGCAGGAGCTTCAGAATGATGGTTGTTCTGTATTTTAGTTGCAATTTTGATGTGGTTGTGGGAGGTGGTGAGTACTGTGTTTACCTACATTGCATCTTGGCTCTCTATTTTCTGTAGTTTTAATGGAGCTAAAAGCCAGTCATTGACAAGACAAAACACATTTTACTTTTACTGCTTACATGGCCAAATAGCTGGGGCTTAAAGCTGCACCATTGGTTAGGCTAAAGCCGTGGTCGGCAAACTGTGGCTCGTGAGCCACATGCGGGTCTTTGGCCCCTTGAGTGTGGCTCTTCCTAAGCCTTAGGAGTACCCTAATTAAGTTAATAACAATGTACCTACCTATATAGTTTAAGTTTAAAAAATTTGGCTCTCAAAAGAAATTTCGATTGTTGTACTGTTGATATTTGGCTCTGTTGACTAATGAGTTTGCCGACCACTGGTCTAGAGAATCCCAAGAGAGAGGGGAGAGCGGGCTGAAGGGCCAGTCTGTGGGAGAGGGGGCAGCGTTGGACACCATGGCCCCTGGGCCCCAGATTCTCCCCCAAATTCTGTGCCCACCTTCCCCACTGGCGTTGGCTCCCGGACTCTGGAAGAGGGATGTTCCAGGCTTTGCCGCTGGGGCCCTGCCCAGCAGCAGGGGTCACTGCGCTCAGTGGAGGGCAGGTTCCTAGCCACAGCCAGACCGGCCCCAGGTTGGCCAAGAATGTTCCCCGGAGCCTGATCACGATGCTTATGCCTCCTCTTGGGACCCCTGCCAGTCCCCCACCCCCTGCATGGCCCCTGGGAGGGCGTCTGTGAGCGCAGACTCTGTCTGCCAGGGGAGCGCTGGGTCCTGAGCGCAGGCCAACCCGAGTGACCGCCAGGAGGAGAGGGCGCAGGCCCCGGGATCGCTGGGGGCAGGCCTTGCTGAGTCAGTCCCCGGCCCCAGGAATCCGCTGCAGCCTCTCCCCTCCCTAAAGGAGACCTGGTTGTGTTTGCTTTATGGGAACTTTGAGGCCAAAAGAGAGATGCCCTGGTTGCGGGGGGGGGGGGGGGATCTGGGGGTGACCCAGCGTATTGTGTCCCCTGCAAGGTCAGGTCAGGCCAGGGGAGACTGAGGTCTATGGCGACTGAGGCTCACAGGCCCCGGCTCTGGAGGGAGGGGTCAGCAGTCCCAGGTCTCCCAGCAGGCGCTGGGGGCCACAGCTCAGCACTTCAGGGAGAAGAGAGAATGAACCAGGGGGAGATGATGGCAGAGGGTGCCCCACTGCCCGCACCCCCACCCCCCCCCGGGCAGCCTGGCAGCCCCAGGCCT